AATGCTAGATAGAAGGCATTATGCTAAATGAAATAAGTGAAACAGAAAAATAAATACTGTATTATTTCACTTATATGTGAAATACAAAAAAAGTTTATCTCATAAAAACAGTAAAATGTTTACTAGAATTAAGGGTGGAATAGAATTGGGAAAATATTGGTCAAAGGATGCAAAATTTTAGGTAGGAGTAACAAATTCAAAAGTTCTACTGTGTATCATAGTGATTGTGGTCAATAACAATATAATATATTTTTGACCATTGTCAAGTGAGTAGACCTTAAATGTTCTCACAACAAAAATAGGTATATGAGATGATGATTTGTTTAACCATTTCAGAGTGTATACATATATCAAAGCACATCGCACACCATATATACGTACAATTTTGTCAACTATACTGTGATAAAATACAACGAAAGTGTTCAAAACCAAGACATTAACTTATCCCAGTGCGATGTTAGAAATCCTTCAAAGCCTCGGCTAGGTTGTACATTATTTTTTTTGGTTTTGTTTTGTTTTGTTTTGTTGTTTGTTTTTTGTTTTGGCACTGGGGATTTAACTGGGGACCTTGCACTTGCGAGACAGGCAATGGAACCACTGAGCTAAATCCCTGCCCCAGTTGTACAGTTTTTAAAGCTGTGCCTTACTTTTCTCTGTATCTAAAACAGTGCTAAGTACATTTTGAAGGACTAATTCATTTTTCTTGGTTTATTATGCTATGAAGAACAAAGATCAGAGGAAGAGAGATCAATTCCCTTAGGCTGATGAACTATGCTATTCAACCTCAACAACTTCCTTGAGTTGAGACTCCATAAATGTTGCTTCATCTTATTATTTATATCTTTTTCAGAATCTCATATATCATTGCAGAAAATACTCAACTAACTCATTTAAACTACTTTTGGGCTGGGGATTTAGCTCAGTAGTGCCATATGTGCCTTGAAAGTGCAGGGTCCTGAGTTTGACCCCCAGTACCAGAGAGAGAGAGAGAGAGAGACAGAGAGACAGAAAGAGAGGGGGGGGATTTAAACTACATTTGGGTTTTCTGTTAATTTGTGCTGTTGATTCTCTCTTTAAGATTGTCTAGGTATTTTTGCCGGGCATCTTTTAGGAACGGGTAGAGAGTAAATCTAGGGATTCATTGCAAGGTTGTTATAACATTTTCTGCTCTCCAATGATAGTCATATGCAGAATACTGACTAAGTCTTTGAGTGTTCTTTTGTGAATATTATTCATTCCACCAAGAGTCTTTTTCTCTTGAAAAGTGTATAGACATGAGAAGTTACTCTCAACACAAAGTAACTTCAGGTCATTGATAGACAGCAAGAGGTTGATTTTGATTGACATAGGTCTCACTTTAACTTGGTCTTAAACACCCAAAAGAAAAGAATAACCAAAAGAGGTATAAAATAATGCCATAGTAATAAAGATAGATATAAAAAGAGGCCCCAATTGCTGACTGCTTTTGCCAGTTACCAGCTACACCGGTGTGTTCTTAACTGTTTTCTTTGGCTTTGTCTGCTCCAGACTCAAAGCTATAGGCCTACCCAAGATGACAATGCCTGGTGCCTATCGATAGCCTTCAGACAGACCCTCTGGAGAGTAACTCTGACTGCTGATCACAGCTACAGCCCTCTTCAGCTGGAAGCAGCCAGACTGGTCTTCGCCCTTTGCCCCTTCATAGCAGTTAGGGGTACTTACTTCTTCAGAGGGGGGAATATTGTAGATAGGTAAATTAATTAGATTATCTTGTAGGCACTTAGACAGGGCCAGCTCAAGAGGAGCCAACAAGGAGGATAGTCAAGATACATTCACTGAAGGCCAGAATTGTAAAAGGAGAGAAACTACCACACTCATGTAGCAGTAGAGCAGGGATTGATATTCTAAATAGTATCCATCACCTAGGTGGGGGACAAAGATCTTCCAAGAATGATCCCTGACCCACTCCTTTCACAGAAAATCCTTGCTCATTCCTTGTATACTTCCTATGTGACTTGTTTCCCCATTGGATCCCATTTAATCAACATTACCTAAGCAACTATACTTGTCATAATCTTCTTGGTTGTCCATAGTTTTGTCCATCTTGTAATTTCTCATTGGGTCAATATTACCTAAGCAACTGTACTTGTAATCTTACTAGTTGACTACAGTTTTGTCCCTCCTTGAACCCACCTCACCTCATGGCTTTGTAAAACACCTTTGAGAAAAGCTGGGTGTGGTAGTGCATACCTAAAATCCCAACACTTGGGAAGCTGAGGCAGGTGGATTGCTGTGAGTTCGAGACCAGCCTGGGCTACATAGTGAGTTCCAGGTCAGTCTCACCTACATAATGAGACCCAGTTTCAAAAAACCAAAACCAGAACAAAACAAAACAACACCTTTGAGAAGTTGAGTGGGTGGGCAACCCACTTTCTTGTCCCCCTTCTCTTTCTCTTAGACAGCTTACTTTCTCTCAATAAATGTTCCTACTCAAAAAAAAAAAAAAAAAAAACCTTCAGGTCAGATAGATTTTTGGAATACAGGCTAGAGGAGTCTCTTTCCAGGGCTTTGTGACAAATATCATGATGTTATGGCCTCAGATTCCTAAAAGAATGAAGACAGGCCCTTTGGGCCCTAAGGGAAGCAACTGAGAAAAATGGATCTTAATTTTTTCATTGGGTGGCCCAATTGTAGACCACATTGGTATAAATCACCCAAAAATACTGTTAAAAAAACAGAAGCAATAAGGCTGATTTTGTTAAAATTTTTCCATTTTTTTTTTTGGTATGAGCTTCATCTCTGCTGGACTCCCACAACAATTGGTTTATATTTCCATTATATCTTCTTAAGTAGCCACTTAAAGACCTGTGTTCCATTTATTATGAAAGGGGAATGTGTTTCTCTGCAGTTCAAGCCAAACTTACTGGTGGAAAAGTTTTCTCCCATTCCCTCAACATGTCAGAGCTTCTGGACACTTCCTCTCAAGCATCTCAGGAATTTTCTTTGTTCTCAGTTTTATTACTCCTATCTCCCTGCCAAATGTAAATGGGATGTGGCTCTGTGCACTGAACTTGCTATCTGTAATATCTGATAACCGGTGAATTTGCTGGGCCCAAATGACTTGTGATCTATGTAACCAATGCAAAGTGCTTAATTCCTGCAAGCCCTCCCCCTCCCAAGAGTATACCCTGCCCAGCTCCACCCCAAGGGTGGTGGGGGTCGGTCTCTTTGTGGAGAAGTCCCAGACTGATCCGCTGTTGGCGTTAACAATAAAACTGTACACTCTGCATCCAAAACTTCTGGGTGCGTCTTCCATTCTCCTAGACTACCTGTCTGTATGTTCTGGCTGACAATTGGCTACTACAATTATAAGTTCCTTGAAGACAAGCATAAAAAGTCCATTTAATTCACTACTTTTTTATATAAAGAATAAACACAAGAAAGACAAGTATTGATAGTTATGCTATTAGTGACTTTTATTGGCCCTCAAGAAAGTTTAAAAGAGAAGCAAGAGCTTTATAGAAGAAAATCACTGTTATTATGGAATCAGAACAGATACCATAATATTTAATCAGATATTTAGATTTTTTTTCTGAATGTTCATGGCGAGAGGCAGGGATAGTGACTGGGTCTATGCGCATGTGGTTGAGGGGAGGGAGCAGAATTAGTCTAATGCTCTTCCCTGCTTTTAATGGTTTGATCAAAGTGACTTTAATGATAGAACCTGGAATCAACATTTATTTGTCAAATAAGTAAAATACCACACTGGATCTAAACTACAGGACTAACTACCACGAAAAGAGATCAAAGGGGTAGGAAGACTGACTAATGGCTAAGAAGTCACAGCTCTGACCCTTTAGGATGCTAAGCTAGACACCATTTAAACTTAGTTTTTAGATGATAGCATATGCAGCTAATAAAGTGAGACTCATTTTAGTTATTTAGGGTGTCCAGTAGGACTTTTGTTTTTCATTTATGCTCAAATGACAGAGAGTAGAAATCCTGAAGAGAATGAAAAAGGCAGAGGAGGGAGAGAACAAAAAGGAAGAGGGGTAGGATGAGAAATTTTTCAAGAGGAGAAAAATGCAGGTTCAGACAATATTTATTCAAAAGAAAATGGTTATATATTTACAATATATATAAGCTTCAGTTCAAATTTAATAGGCATAAAGGAGGTTTATCCAAGGGAAAGACAAATCTGGTCATGTTTAATTAAAGTTTCCAAGCTAACAGCTGTTTGAACAATAGCTTTGGAAATTTTTTTGAAATAATCTGGTTATTCTCCTATATAAGTTACTGTGTGAAGAAGACAGCTTTGAAGATGTTTAAGTAATAAGATATTTGATAGTATTTTTAAAATCTGGAGCTAATTATAATTGTAAAGTTGCTGTTGTAAAGTCTTTCAGGCTGATAATAGACTCATGATCTTTGTTTAATATACATAAATAACTCAAGATAAAAATCTTTCTGTTCGATATGGAAAGGTGTATCGATATCTGCCATTAAGAAGTTAAAGTGATTTCTAGTATAATAGGAGTGCTAAGGAATTTGTGGTCAGTTCTAGTATTAACAGCATTGTTAGTGAAAAAAATATACTGTTACTATAAACCAGCGGTTAGGATCCAGGAACTGGAATTAATTATAATTACTGTACTAGTTTATATGTTGTTACAATAACCCCCTTAATTGCAATCAAAACTTAGTTTACTAAATGATAAATTGTGGTAGGGCACTTTCTGACTTGGCTAATCAATTCAACAGTTACATGACTGAAAGTTAGTTTCATATTTGAAAATATAATTTCTTCAATAGTAAAAAGAAATAGGATTGTTTTTAACAGGCATTCATTAGTAATCACTTTTGTGGATATTCCATTGCACAACAGGACCTGGGAACTTTGCTCTCCAAACACCTCTATCTCTCTTGCCTCTCTATCTGCTTCCTCACTTGATTCTTCACCATAAATGATGGTGACTTGATTGTTTTCGTTATGATTCTCTTAAGAAAAGGGAAAAGGGGTGGTGTACGTCTGTGTGTGTCAGATGGAATGTTAGTGGATACGTGAGACAGGTAAGCTTAGTCTAAAGCAAAACTAGGTATAACATTGCTATATTTTTGGTTCTGGCTTCTTTTTGTATCTTGCCCTATCCCCCACCATGACCTCCTGTATTTCATTAAAGAAGGGCTTTGGCATTACTTATTACCAATTTTTATATACCTGTTGGTATGTGGGCCAATTTCAAAGATCCCTTAGATTCATCTGCGTGCATAGTGGAGAGGGCAATATTTTCATATCTTTCCTGAGGTGCAAAACACCAGCAGTGGTGAATAAGTACCACCAGGTCCTTCTGGAAATTTTTGTTAAGAAAGCCATAAAAGAGAGGATTTATACATGTAGAAACCATGGCAACCAAATGGCAAACTATAAATACCAGGTCATGGTGACAGCTCATCAGCACCTCATGATACCAGTCAAAGATAACATTGAAGATGTTCAAGGGCAGCCAACAGGCTCCAAAGGTCACCACAATGGAAATCAACATTGTGTTGATCCTCTTGTTCTCACTGAGCCGGCTTTCATTTTCCTGCATCCTGTCTACCTTCTGATTTCTCTTTTGAAGGCAGATAACAATCTTCACGTAGCAGATAAGGATAAATCCCAGAGGGACAAAATACTGGAGCATGAACAAGGAGGTGGAAAATAGGAGCTGGTTTGTTCTGGAGGGCCAGTTCTCTACACAGGCCACCCGGTCGGTGTAGATGGCAGTGGGGAGAGAGAGGTTACGAAAAGGCTCATCAGTGAGGTGGTAGGACAGGAACAAGGGAAGAGACAACAGAAGGGAAATGAGCCAAACCAATGTGATGCCCCAATAAGCATGAGATGCAGTGGGCTTCCAGCCACGGGGGTTCACAATGAGCTGATATCTTTCAACAGCAATTAATACCAGTGAGAATATGGACACAGAGATGGAAACACTCTGCATATAGGAAGTGAGTTTGCACATGGTATCCCCAAATATCCAGTGGTCCATCAGGGTGTAGATGACGGTGAAAGGGATGCACATGACGCACGCCAAGATGTCAGAGAGGGAGAGATTGGCAATCAGTATGCTGGTGACGTTCTGAGCTTCTCTCTGCTTCTTAAAGATAATGATGATGAGAGAGAGATTTCCACGCAGGCCCACCACTAAGACTGCAGTATAGGCTATGAGCAGCAAGAGTAAAGTTAGAGAAGGGGGTTGACAGGATTCGAAGTGGGAAAATGTGGAGTTGTTGATCTTTGCACTGGTTTCATTGGTCGCTGGCCGGTTTAGAAAAACTTCCATCATGTCAGGATGCTAAGAAAAGATTTTGCAAGCTTGCTCGTATTATGAGTGGATATTTTGGCTGACAATTCTTGGAAAGCACCTTGCTCTGTGACTCTCAGCAAGTAATTAGGAGAGTGTAGTCTTCTTTGATCTCTGTGTTGGATGAAAACACATAAATGATTTGAGCGTGCTCTTGAGAACCTAAAATTAAAGAGAATCCAAACATTAATGTACAATATGGATAATTCTATAGTGGGAACAATGTCCCTGAGAGGACATATACAAGTTTCCAAGGGGTCTGTGTGCACCTGTACACAAATCTCAGGGTGGTTTTTTAGTCTCATCGGTATAGTCTTTAGAGCTAAGGAGGCAGGGAATGTGATGGTGTCCAGTTACTCTATAGCTCCCTTTGAGGCAGCTCAAACTTCTGTATTTTTTTTGTTTGTTTTGGGTCATTTGGCTATGTAGCTGCTTGATCCATACATAGACTGCAATAGTTGTAAGGGTTAGGGATTATGGTGTAGAGACCAGAGTACTATGTTTGGAATTGGGTTCTGCTGCAGTCTGAGTGTTTACAGTCTCTTCAAAATTCATATCCCAGTGCAACATTATTCAGAGGTGGAACCTTTACGACATGACTAGACCATATCTGTTTTAATGAATTAGTGTCTTATAAAAGGGAGTGAGCGGGCATGTTCATCTTTTCTGTCCCTTTGATCATGCAAGGACACAGTGTTGACCTCCTCAGGAGAATGCAATGACAAAGCACTGTTTTAGAAATAGAGTGCAGTCCTCCCTCACCACACCTTAAACTCGATGGCACCTTGATCTTGAAGTTCCCATCTCCCAGCACAGTGAGAAATAGATTTCTATTGTTTATAAATTACCCAAGCTGTGGTGTTTTGTTATAGCAACACAAAGGGAATAAGATATGTTCTGATTAAAGCATCACTACTTGGTATCTGTATGACTTTGACAAAGGTGTGTTACCCTCCCTCTTCCCTTTCCTGTTTGTAAGATGGGGATAAATAATATCTGACTGAGTTGTGGGGATTAAGTGGATCATGCAACTAAATTAGTCCCTCAGACTCAACATAGAGCATAGAATTAGGTCCTCAATATGTGTATGTTGAATAAAATTTGTCAACCCTGTGGGCTAGTGTCTCTAGCCTTTAGTTTAAACTGGGATTGGAATCACAGAGCGTGGTGGTTATGGAATAGCACTGGCCATCTCCTTTTACTTCTACTCTCTGGGGTTAAAGTCGTACTTTCATGGGAAATTTGGGGGTATATTTTTCAGATTCTGGGAAATCAAAGAAAGGCATCCAGTGCCTACTCAGCTACTACCCAAAGTTAACTTTGTTTAGAATCATTCTTCCAGTTCTTCCTTCTTCTGGGCCCCTTGTTCTAATTTCCAGGGGAAAGGCTTGTCCTCCTCCTATGGCTGAGCATATTGTAGGGAGTCATACTCAGAGAAGTACTCATATCAGGATGCATAACAGGCATGATGAATCCCCTGCCACTCTAAGTATGAAGGTTTTTGGCTGAAAAGGAACATGTGGAAAGGTGACAAAAGCTGGGCAAACCAATTCCTGACTTGGGTTTATTCTTTAGGAATTTGAAGAAAACAACATAAATAACATCGATAAAGGAATCTGAGCAAAAGGAATGAAGGAGAATGAACTTTTACGTGCGCTTTGAAATTACTTTGGCCTGCTTTCATATTTTTTCCTGAGTTCAAAGGCTTAGCAAATTGTTATTGGAAAGAAATCATTTTAAGAATTCTAACATTTTCAACAATAGCTGCCATGATGAAGAACACCATAAAAATGCCACACGTGAATAGAAACTGTTGATAAAGACAGTATATTTTATAAAGAAAGACCCAGGGAACTTTTCTATGGCCCAGATGTGATGTGGTCATGAGGAGAAATAGCAAAATTTATAAACGGTGGTATTTGAATAAAGGTCTTGTGGTACAGCAGTTCAACAGATCCAGAGTTCACAGATCCTCAGTGAAGGGGATGTTGATATATGTAAACTACTTATAATCATTTGGTAGACTAGAACTAAAATGAGAAGTAGAAAGCTTCGATTGCTAGAGGCGTCCTACCAAGCAAGCTTCACTTGAAGGAGAAAACAAACGAAAAGGAAATAGGCGTTGACTACAAATGCAGCTTGGTATGCTAGAGAGGGCCTAGTCTTGTATATATGGATTTTTTTCTCAGCTATTATTGTCTATAAGATAAAGTTCCCACGAATCTTGCAAATATGGTCTGAATACCAGTTTTCTCTTTGCATATGGAAAAGTTTACAGAATTTTGCAGCATTCCCAACAGATTGATAGTAGAAATGGGAATAAATGTCGGAAACCTTAAATTGCCCACTCTTGTTGGTCTGGGTTATCTTCCTAGGGGATGGGAATTGCTCACCATCCTCCAACAGCAGGTCTGAAGTTGGGTGGAGACTCTTCTACTCTCCTGTTGTTAATTAGTAGCAAAGTAAAAATTTGTTTTCCAGCCTATAATTCCTATAGAGGCTTGGAACTCAGAAAAAACAGAAGCATGTTACATGAGCACATTTGGGAAGGACTCGAAGAAGAGTACAGAAGTTAAATCATTCAGTGTCCTCTGCGTGATTCAGATCAGATTGCTAGGAAAAATCCCAACTATAGACTTCAGATTGCAATGTGGGGGCCGGAGATTTAGCTCAGTGGTTCTGTTGCCTGCATCGCAAGTGCAAGGTCCTGAGTTTGATCCCCAGAACCACA